AGCTTAATTTGATGACTGGACAGGAGAAAGATTCGTGTAACTGATTGATTTATAGAGTTCAATTTACTATAATACTGATTAAGCTTCTCATTAGACATTGCTTCCAAAGAAATTCATTTTGTTATAGTGAAAGGAAAATAAATAAATATAAATATTTTTCATATTTAGTTTAAAATTATTTTTAAAAAAATTATTATCTCTACAGATAATTAATTAAAATAATTAGATATGAACTAATTACAATTTTAGTCTACGAATTACTTACTATTAAATTCAATAATATCAATAAATTAATAGGTAATTAAAATAAATTAATTAAAAACTAATTATAAATTAATTATAAAATTTTAGTTATATATAAATGATTATTAAATTAATTAATAAATGAATATACCTAAATGTTAAAAATTATTTTCAACTTGGCATTAAATTAATTATTAATTCATTTTATTTTAGCAAATTAATTAGGTACAAATTTAGGTTTTCAATTAATTAATAATAAATTATTGTAATAATTTAATTATTATCGAATTAAAGAACATTAATAAATTGATAATTAATTAAAATAATTACGTATATAAACAAATTTCAACTTTAGGTGACGAATAAATTATTAATAAATTAAATAATATGAATAAATTAATAGGTGATTCATATAAATTAATTAAAAATTTAAGTTTAAAATAAATGATTATTAAATTAATACCTAATTATTAAAAATTAGTTACAACTATGCGTTAAATTAAATAAAAATTCATTTTACATTAGTAAATTAATGATAAGTTATTATAAATTAATTATAAAGTTGAGTCACAAATAAATGACTATTAAATTAATTAATTAATTCCTAAATATTAAAAATTTATTACAACTTTGTATTAATTAATAATTAATTCATTTTATATTAGTAAATTAATGATTAGTTATCATAAATTAATTACAAAATAATTATAAATTTGATTCATACAAAAATTATTATTAAATTTACTAACTAATTAATTAATTAATACGTAAATATTGAAAATTAATTACAACTTTGCATTAAATTAATTATTAATTCATTTTATATTAGGTACTAAATTAATGATTAAGTATTATAAATTAGTTATAAATTAATTACAAATTAACTATAACTTTGAGTTATAAATAAATGATTGTTAAATTAATTATTTAATTAATACCTAATTCTTATAAATTAATTAGAACTTTCCATTAATTTAATTATTAATTCATTTTGTATTAGTAAAATAATGATTCTTATAATATCATAAGTTATAGTTATATCTTAAAGTTAAATTTACTATTATTAAATTATTTTATAATAACAAATTACTGATTAGTTATTATAAATTAATTATAAATTAGTCCCAGCTCTAAATTAAACATTAATTATAATTAAATTAAATGTAAGTTAACTATAACTTTGAGTTAAATTAATTAGTAATTAATTTTATGTTAATAAGTTAATTATTAGATATTATAAATTAATTCTAAATCAATTATATAATTTTGAGTTATTAATAAATGATTATAAAATTAATTTATATTAATCAATAAATATATTAATATCTAATTATTATAAATTAATTGCAACTTTGAATTCTATTAATTACTATTAATTAATTTTATATTAATAATGAATAATTATCAATTAATAATTAATTAAAAGATTAATACTTATTATTATGAATTAATTACAACTTTTAGTTATAAAATGAATGATTATGAAATTAATTTAAAATTATTTAATTATAATTTAAAATTTTTAAGTAATTTTTGAAAGAAGATAAAACATCTTTCTTTTTTAAAGTAGAACAAAAGAAATACAGGTTCAATGTAAATTGCATAAAAAAAAGAAATGTTGTACCATATCAAAGTATATAGTAGATTTTTAACACTTATTGTAAAAAGTTGATTTCTCAATGTGTGTTTGCTTAAAAAAAATGAATACAGTTTCCACACTCGAATGTCTGATATAATCGCTTTTGATTCAGTGTGAAACAATGACTTGTCTCCCTTCCGTTTCACATATATATATGTATATAAGTTGAGATTGTAATATACTCTCGCGAGATGTAAATTCAAGAAGTAATTTCACTTGCTACTGAGTCGTAAACTCTAGGTAAGCACTCACGTGGATAGAGGAGAAAAAGATAGTGATAGAGATGAAGAGAGTGAGATGTAGTAGGAAAAACGTTGTGTCTGATGCTCGCATGACGATAAAAATATAAAGCGAGAATAATATTCGCATCAAAAAGTGGGTTATAATCCAAAGTGAAATGAAAAAAAAAAAAATTATCTCTTTTAACAATTTGTGAAAAAGATAGAGAAAAAAAAAATTACTTTGATTTATATTGTCAAACAAAGCAAAATGCTTTGGAAATATTTATATATATATAAATGTCTTTCGAGTCTCGCGAGGTTCTTGTCAGCATAAAAATGAGAGCATTGGCACGTTGAAGGCTGTGGAAAGTGAAGCGTTGAAATCTCCTGTTAGTGTGTGCGCCTCGGACACTTGAAAATATACAACACCAATCGAATGAAAAGAAAATAATGATTATAAATGAAAAAAAAGTAATAATGAAATGATATTGAAATTTGAAAATTATATTTGAATGATTCTTATTGATCAATGAAGCATTAGAGAAATTTTATTTTCCGCTTCCTTTCCATTTAGTTTATATCTAAATACAAGCATTGAATTTTTATTTTCTGCTTCCTTCATAATTTATATATATATATATATTGTACACAGGGAATTAAAGTCTCTTGCATAAGAATATTGGAGAGACTTAAATGCATTCAAATTTTTCACTATAATTAATTATTCAATTCGAATAATTATAATTAGAATCACAAAAATAAAAATATTTGATTTTTGTTCTAGGCCATTTCATTTTCTAATTATTAAAAATGAAAATAATTATTATAGAATTAATTATAATAAAAATAATAATAATAGAAAAAAATGAAAAAATTAAATAATTTATTTAGTTATTTATATATTATAAGTTAAAGGGTTTTTATCAAAAATTTTCTTTGTTTGTTTTATGAAAGTTATTATTTATTACGGCTATTTTATATATATATTAATAATAAGGCAAAATAAATGATTTTTTTTCATTGGCAACAAACAGTATAAACAAGAAAGTGAAAAATCAGTGAAATGAAGGCCTTTAAGACGTGAGAGATTTCTACACATTACTCTTCAGAACGTCAATCATGAACTAACAATATATATATGTGCTACTAAGTACGCGTAATTTCTCCATTCTAATTATTATTTTATGTCAGTATTTTTATAATTTTGTTCAGAATCAGATCATCGAGGTAATTTTTGTTTTTTTAATTACATTATCATTGTAATCTTCCTATTGATTATTATTATTATTATAAACATTATAGCTTGTTCATAAATATAATTATTGTCATCATTATAGCTTATCAGCATTAATATCAAAATTCAATATTTTTATTAAACTTAAAAATAAATTTGATTCAAATTTTTTTTATTATCAAATGTTTGCGGTTTACCAGATTTACTATTATCAAATTTTACGGTTTACCAAATTTAAATTTATGGATTTCCTTTTATCAAATAAATATTTTAACCAAATTATTTTTATTTGAATTAAATAAATTGTATTTTATCCAATAATTTCTGTATTTGAAATAAACAGAATTTAATTATCGCAAATAATAATTATAATACAAATAAATATTTATTTAATAATAGTAAAATAAATGATTATTTGAATTAGATAAATATTTTTTGATAGGCAATCGATTAAGAATTAATTAATCCATTTCCAAATAATTGACTTTGATTAATTCAATTGGATTTAGATTTTTAAAATTTGTTAATTCAGTTTCAATCTGATTCTATTGGGTTTTATCGGATCCTATCAATTAATTTTATAAAGGGACAATAGTTATATACTAATAGAAAATATATAGTTAGAAACCGTTAAAAAATTAATCGACCCATCATTATTGGTTTTGATTAATTCAATTGAATTTACTTAGATTTCTGAAATTTTGTAATTCAGTTTCAAAATGATTCCATAGGATTTTATCGGATTCTTTAAATTATTTTTATAAAGGGATAATAGTTACTAATATCATCCCTTTAAGAAAACATCGTTAGGAACCGATAAAACATCAATTGATTCATTTCAGAATCATCATTGGATTTGATCAATTCAACTAAATTAACAAAGTTTAGAAATCTGAAAAAACATATAGATTTATTTAGATTTCCAAACTTTGTTCATTTAGTTTCAATCTGATTCTATTGGGTTCTATCGGATTAATTAATTTTATCAAGTGATAATTACTAATATCATCAAGCGTTAATTTCAAGCTTTTGTATAATCAATAACAAAGTTTATCGGTGATTGTTTTTATCCATACTGTAATTATTATCCATCATTGTAATTCGCATTGGTATTATATCTTTGAATAACATTTGCTGTATTTTGTATTATGATTTCTCCAGTTCGTATTTTTACTATCCTAATCTTTCTCCTCTCTTCATCATAATTTTAACGTTCAGGTTTAGGATTTTATAATTTTCGTTGAATTCCCGTATTTCCAGTATCAGCGTTTGAATTTATTAGTGAAAGACATTTTGGGTTCCATCACATCAGTAGAATTATTATCATCATTAGCATAATCTGCTTTTATCATTGTCATCGTCATTGTTATTATCATTGCCATTCAGTACCATCATCAATTATAATTATCATCATCAAGAACAGAATTGTTCTTATCATCATTGAGATAATTATCGTTATCATCATCATTTTCGAAAGTGGTAATTATCATCCTTTCAGCAATGGACATCATGGTATCGCAAATTCACTAAGACCTTATTATGCTACATTCGAAAATTGTAATACAGATGAAAATCCAAAAAATTGCATACATATTATAATTGTCATTATTCTCCTAATTTCGCCTAATGTGATATAGTAGTACAACTACTAAAATTAACAAACCTTTCTCTCTCTCAGCAGCACCAACTCCCTTCGCCAAATCCTTTCATGAAATTTTGCACCACCTCACATGAATGCACTTTTTTTCTGCTTGTTTCCACACCACACTTTTTCTAATTTATATATAATAAAAGAGCTCAACACAAATTGTTGTCTCCTTCTTTTTTTTTAACGATTTTCACGCACTATACACCTTTCGCGCAGTATTAAGAAGAACTTTCGCGAAACTTTCAATAATTGTCGTTAAAAAATGCTGAAAATTGTTTTTTTTTTATTAAAATAAAACAAAATCGAATTACAGTTTTCAATAGTAGTGAACAAACCGTGTCTAGCCCGGCCGAAGACTGGCGCTGGGGAAGTGGTAAACACCAGGAGTAGTGTACAACTTCGTCTGGTTTTGTGAGAGCTTTCTACGAGAAGGACGGGGACTAGAAAGTGGGGATAAGAGACGGCCATTGGTGTCCAGAGTGTGTATATAGTCTCTCTTGAAGAAGAAAGAAAGAGAACCTCCACATATATATATCTCTGGAGACGAAGAACATATTATACTTCTGATGAAGGAGAAAAAAAAGAGTATGAAGATACATCTCCTTTTTTTTCCCCAACGGTCCATTAGGGATATGCGCATATATAATCGCACCTGTATGGATTATAGAAAGAAGTGATCTGCTTTTGTTTGCATAGTGTATCAAAAAAAGTAGGTGGATATAAATTCAATAATTGTAGTTGAATATAAGGATTTCAATAAATCATTAATTTATTTGTCCAGTCATCATGATCACAGATGCAGCCTGCAGCGTAATGTTATTTATATATTTGCAGCTTATTTTAATCGTAGGATGATCATTCATTGGCATTAGATTACATCTAATGAAGGACGTTCATTTTTTTGTATTATTAAAATTCTATTCTTTTGTAGTGATGAGCAAAGAAATGGATTATATCAATTAATATTATTCTTTATCATTACTGTGATTTTTCTCCAAATTGCAAATTCTGTCATAAATTAATGAGCACATTTATATCTAAAGTTGATGCTCTTTTTGTTGGAAGTAAAGGAATTTAAACGCGGATTCAATTTAAAAGAATTTAGTCAAGAATTTTCCATTGATTTTGGTTTGCAATTCAGTGAATCAATTACTGGATTAATTATTGTTTGGTGACAAGACGGAATTTACATCTGGAATTAGTTCGAAGCTGTCCGGATTATTGTCAGATTTTTGTCATCCGGAATTAGACCTGCTAAATCCTTTGCCCGATTTGTGTAACTAGTGAATCCGGAATTAATTAGGTCGAATCCAAAGTCAGTTTGATCAGACGTAACCAGTGAATGCAGATTATAGAATTTTAGTGATTACACAGGCTGGAATTATTTCGGATTCAATAGAAGTAATTTTGCATTTATTAATTGTGAATGATCCGATTAATTTCGGATTAAACGGAATTAATTCCTCATTTACTAGTCCCACAAATAATAATAATTTCGGACATACCGGATTAATTCCAGATAATAGAAATTCAATTCTAAGGCGTACTGTTTTGGATGATTAATTCCACATTCCGAAATATTAACCAAAGTAGTGAGCTTGAGTAGGAACTGTAATAAAAGCAGCAAAACCTAACTAAATCCAGATTGTTGCGGACTAATTGCGGATTTATTTCATGTCAATTTTGGACTCTTCCGGACTAATTTCGGATTTATCTTTTCATCCAGATTGATTTTCATGATTTTATGTATAGTATATTGTAGATTATTTTATAAAATGATACAGAAGAGCTGTTTTCCAGGAACACAGAATCATCGCATCATTTGTAAAACTTGCTCGGCAACTGTTAAAAATATTATTAAAATTAATTCGGAAAGATAAAATTTGAAAAAAAAATTCATTAAATATTACTTTGTGATCATTTAGAATAAAAATTATTGATCAAATTTATTTTATTTCTTTTAAAGGAATTTTCCTCATTCGTTAAACTCTCTTTTCATTTCTTAAACTTTTAGTGTTCTAATAATTATATGTTTTTTGTAATTAAAACTGATAAAAAAAACTGATAATAAAATTCTTGCTGATAAAAAAACGTATAAAATGACTTACAGTAAAGTTATTTTGCGTTAAATATGAACATTTTAACAACAAAACAATTTGTGGGGTAGTTTTCTACCCCAGTTGTACTTTAGTCAATTTTCGATTGTAAATGATTTGGAAAAATATAATTCAACAGCAAAAAATTTATAATACCAAGGTGCGCGTGTACAGAAAAATGTATAAAATATTTGCAAAAAAAAAAAAAATTATATTAAGGACATCCTAAATAATTTATAAAAAGTAGCAGAACTTTTTGAAAGTAGGTCGCAACGGCTTTGGAAAAAGTGTAACGGAAAGACCTTAAAAATATTGAAAAACATGACTCTTTAAGGAGGTTTGTTCTTAATTAAGGGACCGGATTCCTTAAATAGTTACAGAATTTTAAGAAGTCCAATCGTTGTATTGGATATAAAAGTAAATGTGAAAATTGGAGTTTTTAATTGATTTACAAATTATTTTTTTATTAATTAAAAATAGATAAATTTAGCAAATGGTAGTGATTTGTAATTTGTTTCGCATAAAAATTCAATTAACAAATTACATAAATTGTCCTACTTTTCGATGATTAAAATTTAACTTTAGAATGAAACAGATTGATTTTGAATGAAGTTTCTTTTGAGATATATACAGTTTAGATTTAGACAAAAACTGATTGGCTCGCCGGAAATAAATTTCAGGTCTTTGGAATGCTACAAATTTCCTGTTAAACTGATTCAACGATTTAAACGACTTATATTGTTTTTTTTGTCAAACCTCAGAATTCATTGGATGATTTTATACTTGAAAATTTTTTTCTTTTCCTGAATTTAATTTTGATCTTAATTTTAATTAAACTGCACAATATAATTGTAACTGAAGAATTATCCTCTATTTTGGGAAAATTTATCGTCGATCTTTGGCTTTATTAATTAAAAACGTTTTATAGGTTCCAAAATCAACCTTAATGTTCCTAGTACAAAAGTTAAAACTAGTATAATCATTAGAAAATTGGATTTCAATTGGAAGATTTAATTGTAGGACCAATTTTGTGATAAATTAGAAAAATTCTGTGTATGATCACCAAGTACGTCTTTCCTACTTATTAAAATGTTAAATTCACGAAATTTTGAATCCCAAACGGATTTTTAAACTCATTTTTTGTTTACTCCAATCCGAGTTGGGAGTGTATTGCGCATGTCACAGTTCTTCACTGCGCACTAGCAGAAAACTGTTAACTTTTACAGCGCACGTATAACTTGAATTAGAAAGGTGTATGTACCTGCGGTCGTAAAAGAGAATAGGCACATGAACGAGTTCATGAAACTTTTCTGAGCATTAGACGTTCAAGTGTTATAAAATAATACTACGCAATAGAGCGCGTGCGACAGCCACTTTTTTTAAAATTCTAATCTATTTAAATATGATAACTGGATTTAATCAGCATTTCAAGAACACTCTCAAATCAACTAGTCAAATTTTTCTTTTTTTTTATAAACATCAAGGAGAGAGTACTGTAATCTCATTTTCCTTTCACTTAATAGTCATCAAATTGTATATGTTAATCAACTTGGTTTACAAGGAACATGTATTTTATAAATGAAATATAATATTTTGTTGTTAGAGATATTTTATAGTTGATTTTATAAATTACCTAATTGCACTTTAAATTAATTATTTTTGCGGTGTATATCACAAATTATAAATAATTAAATGCTTGTATATTGTCATTAAAAGTTGTGCTATTAATGTTTGCAGTGTTTTTTTATATGTGGAATTACAACATATAGTGAATAGAAATACTTGATTTTAGTTGGATATTAGAAGATGTAATAACCATATATGGGATGAAATTAAAAGCAAGTTGAAAATATTTATTTCAGTGTGTGGCGGAATTAGAATCAAAATGCCACCCCTGTGATTAAAATTTCGGACTGATTCATGGTCACCATATAGCACCAGTGATATATCTTTGGTCAGAATTTCCCTTTGGTTTTCAGCGTAAGTTTAAAGATAAATTAAGTGTTCGAATAATGTAGACGGTGCACATTTATTTATCAATAATCGTTAAAGGATTCTCTATTGTAGTATTAAATCCGCAATTAATCCGCAACAATCTGGATTTAGTTAGGTTTTGCTGCTTTTATTACAGTTCCTACTCAAGCTCACTACTTTGGTTAATATTTTGGAATGTGGAATTAATCATCCAAAACAGTACGCCTTAGAATTGAATTTCTATTATCCGGAATTAATCCGGTATGTCCGAAATTATTATTATTTGTGGGACTAGTAAATGCGGAATTAATTCCGTCTAATCCGAAATTAATCGGATCATACACAACAAATAAATGCAAAATTACTTCTATTGAATCCGAAATAATTCCAGCCTGTGTAATCACTAAAATTCTATAATCTGCATTCACTGGTTACGTCTGATCAAACTGACTTTAGATTCGATCTGATTAATTCCGCGCTTCACTAGTTACACAAATCGGACATAGGATTTATCAGGTCTAATTCCGGATGACAAAAATCTGACAATAATCCGGACTGCTTCGAACTAATTCCAGATGTAAATTCTGTCTTTTCACCAAACAATAATTAATCCAGTAATTGATTCACTAAATTGCAAACTAATTTCAGATTAGTCAGGAATTTTTGCAAGAGATTTGTTGAATATTAAAATCTTGTATATTAAATTTGAATATAATTTTGTGTATTTAAATTTTTTCTGGGTCCCTTGCCACTGTTGATTAATGGTTAATTACACAGCGGATGAACTAGCTTAAACAGGAGCTAGGGAAAAATAGATTAGGCGCGTAACGAAACCTCGACACACGTTGCCTGTCACTGCAGCACCGAATGTGTAAGGGAGCGTCAACAGATTACTTCTTCCTTGCGCTGACTGATATCAATGTGAAGAATCCTGATCAAACCACAATTGTATCTTATTTTTTAGATCAGTTTGATGTTTTTTTGATAAAAATTTACAAACAATACGACATAAATTTCAAGATATTGTAAACTGATAAACTTTAAACAAAATTTTGATAAAATCTCCTGTTGCATATGTGGAGTAATAATAACACAACCAAACCTTAAATGTTTCCAGAATTTGGAAACTCTATTGTGATTAGTAAATACTTGGGAAATGATTTTTTACCTCAAGGTCTGCTTTACATTTTTACTTGGTAATAAAAGTACCAAACTTTAGTCTAAATCTAATTTGAAGCTGATGAATCGGAAAGGGTATTTATTAAAATTAAATTAAATTCTATCAAAGAGGAAAATCACAGGACGCTGATTTTTAGACGTTC